GCAAATTCATAACAAACATATAATCACATGCATAATTAAACATAGTATGGGTTGGGTTATCACACTCTCCCCCTCCCCCAAATTTCTCTATCTGTATGAATGAATAAAAAAAAGAAAAAGAAAAAAGAAAATGTGAGATCTACTATGTGAACCAGTAACACCACTTTTACTATGTGAACTAGTGACACCACTTTTTCTCTTTTCATCTTCTTTATCATCTTCATCTTCTCTGTTTGAGGTTAGGGTTTAGATTCATTTCAAATGTACTACCACCATTCTTCTATCCCCGTCGATCACAGATCGCAGATCCATCAAATTGCCACCGCAGCTGCTTCTAACTTCATATTTGTAAACTCTAATGGTCGATTGAACCCAATATATATATATATATATATATATATACGCATAGAGAGAGAAATAGGGTCGAAGTTGATTCCAGGTCACGAGACCCAACCTACGTCTGATACGTACTCGCCGAAGTTGCACAAGCTATGGGTCTTTGTGATTCATTCAATTCGCTAAATGCTTCGAGAACAGTGACTCATTTTCGTCCTCGTTAGCATTGCCATCGCCACCTTCGTTTTCTCTCTCCTCCTTTACTTATCATCATTTCACGGCTACAATTACACCTCGATCTCTGACTCGCACTTCCCTACTAAGTCAACTCACATGACCCACTAGATAAGACAACAAAATAGCATAATCATTTCACATTGTGCTCTCTTTCTCAATAGAGACAACGGAGGTCTGGGGTTTGAAGAAAGAGATAGAGAGAGAGAGAAGTAGAGGTAGAGAGAGAAAGTAGATCTGTGGGGAGATAGAGAGAGAGAAAGAGAGGTTTTTTTTTTTTTTTTTTACCTTAAAGGTCAATTATGTCTTTTCACAATGTGGTTGAAGGGTATTATGGTTAATTTCACTCTCAAGTTAACGTCGTTAAGGCTCTTTTAACGGGAAGAGAGAATCTGACTATTATTTTCAAAAGTAAAGGAGGTTTGTGTCAGCTTTGAAACTACATGGAAAGTATCTGTAATTAAGGCAAACCTCAAGAGAGGTCAGTGTAATTTACCCAAAATTAAGGGTTGTTTGGGTTAAACTATATAAGTGCATTTTTTTTTTGTATAAGTGCATTTATTTGGGTCATATCAATTAATATCTCCTATCTATTTTTTTACATTTTTTTAATAAAAAATAAAAAAGTATACCTAGTTAGAACATCCCAAACCAACCCTTCAACGTTTGGTAGAATTTTAGAATTATGATTTGAGAATAGAGTTGTATTTTGAGTTTGTGAGTTTTGAAATTATGATTTGAATCGAGAAAATTTGTTTGGTTATGAGTTTTGAATTGAGTTTTTGAGGGAGTTTTGAGTTTTTAAAATTAGAAAAATTATTTAATTTAAAAACCTACAATTCATAACCAAACACATAATCCAAAATTCTATTCAAAACTCATAAAAAAATTTAAAAATATTTTGAAAATATTTTTTTATTTAAAATATAAAAACAAAAAAAAAACACGAACATTGTTCCGGTTAACTGGCCGGACGACCGGCCGGACATTTGGGGGACGTTTGGGAGGATGACCGGGTAGACCTGTTTTCAAAAGTAGGTGTGAAATCAATTTTTGAAAACTCTAACCCACTCAAACCAATGGGTGAAATTGAGTTGTGAAACTCTAACCAAACATAACTTTAATTTTTAACTTTTAATCCATTTTAAATTATATCATTTTATATATATAAAAAATAAAAAAATCAAAATTTAACTAATTTCTCAAATCACTCGGTGTAAGTTCCTGTCCTCACATAGGATTCATTTAGAAAGTGGGTTGATTTTTTTGACTATTTTAGCATGGGGCTAAAAAACTTATTTGGGAAGGATTTTTTAGCTCTTTTGAATTTTTTGTGAGAGAAAAATATAATGATTATACGTTGAATATGATATTTTGTCTTATTAAACTAAAATAACCTATTATATCTTATATAACTATTTTAACCCTAAACTATCTTCCCAAACAAGCCCATATTCCAAATCGAATGAAATTCTTCATGTGATCCTGACATATGAACATGAGCAAAAAAATATCAGTGGGTTTAGTTTTAATTTTTTTAAAATTAAATTTTTTTATTTTTCATATTTTTTATTTTAATAAATATTTAAAAAATTTTAAGTAATATTTTTTATTTTTTTAGATGTATCAAAAAAATAAAATATTTATAAAAAAATATTTACAAAAATTAATAAATACTCAAGAATATAAAAAATACCAAATTCTCCTTTTTTTAATTTTTTTTTATATTTTTAGTATTTAGTGAATTTTCTAAAGATTTTTTTCATAAATATTATATGTTAAGTGTATCTAAAAATTAAAAAATTGTTTAGAATATTAAAAAAATTTCACTAAAAACAAAAAATATAAAAAATAAAAAATTTTAATTTTAAAAAATTGAATTCTAAAAATCTAAACCAAACAAGCTTAATCTTTTTTCACAAGAGCTATAGAGATGAGATCTTGGTCTCTGGATAGAGATTCGAATGCTGATTCCATAATCCACTACCAACTAAGTGAGATGGCTCAAACCTCCTTACCTCGGTTCGATAGCAGCTCAACCGAGCTATCACGGCCTTGTGCTACGCCAAATAGACCCAGGACGATATTCAACTGAGATATTTTAGTTCGGTACCCCACCACCATCGTACCCCGGTCCTTCTTGGATCAAATATAACCACTTCGGCCCAAGCATTGGGCCGAATAACCGCCCAATCTATGATCGAGCTAACTCCATTCCTATTTCCGCTCATAGCGCGACCCAATGACCAAGAGAGTGTACCTAGCTCGGTCCACTTCAATATATGCTCTTAGCTCGGGCCAATTTGCTCATAAATTGCCCTCTCAAGTATCCTAATAAAACTTTTGCTAATAAAACAAATCAAATATTTAACTGGTTAACCACTTCTATACACTTCAATGCATGAAGGAAAAGATTGATTTTTATCAATCCATTGTGAGAGTTTTTTTATTATTTTAAAGTTGACTATAACGTGGTGTTTTGAGAAGTTGATAAAAAATTGACTTTTTAGTTTTTTTGTGATTTTATGATTTTTTTGTGTTAAAAAAGTTAACTTTTTTTTGTGACTTTTTTGTATAAAAAAACAAAAAAACCAAAAAATTAGGCTTTGTTTGGTAAGACTTTCTAATTATGATTTGAGAATATGAGTTGTATTTTGAGTTTGTGTGTTTTGAAATTATGATTTGAGTGTAAAAAATTTGTTTGGTTATGATTTTTTAAGTGTGGAATTGAGTTTTGAAAGTTTGATTTGACATGTGAAGTAAGAAAATTTGTTTGGTTATGAGTTTTGGAAAGAGTTTTTAAAACTTAATTTAAATTGTTATAACTCATAACAAAATACATTACTTTCATACTATTGAAAATTCTGATCAACACTTATAACTAAACTCTTTTTAAAATTCAATTAAAAAGATTTATTATTAATAGAAAATAACATTAATCAATTTTTTAATTGAAAATACTACAAAGGAAATAATTTTTTTCTAAATAAATATTCAAAAAATTTAAATCATAAATATTTAAATAATTTAAAAAATTTAATAAGTAAAAAATTAAAATAATTATTCAAAAAATTTAATAAGTAAAAATTTAAATAATTTAAACATTCAAAAAATTTAAATAATTTAAAATTTTAATATTTTAAATTTAAAAATAACTCTACACTCAAATCGTAATCAAACACATAAAACAAAACTCAATTAAGAAATTATTTTTAAAACTTATAACCAAACACATAACTCGAAAATCCATATTGTTTTCACAACTCTACACTCAAATAGTAACCAAATACATAACAAAAAAATTAAAATATTTAAAAGTATTTTTATAAAATAGAGATTGAATTTATTTTTATAAAATATTTTAAAATTTAAAAAATTAAAATCGTAATATTTAAAAATTTTCAAAAAATTAAAAAAATCGTAACATATTTAATATTAAAATATTTAAAATCTTAACAAAATTAAAATATTGATTTGAATTGAGTTTTGAAAAAAGTTTTGAATTATGTGTTTGGTTATGAGTTTTGAAAAATAATGATTATGTTTTGAATTAAGTTTTGAGAAATGAGTATAGAATTATGATTTGAAAGTTCAAAACAAACACTACACTCAAATCAATGGGTGAAACTATAATTTGAGAAGCGTACCAAACAAAGTAAGTTCCCAAAACTAAAAGCTTAGAGGTATGATTAATTTTGAACTAATTCTCGTGGAGGGTAATAATTTTGAACTAGTTGTTATGGAGGGTAACAATTTTATGATTTTGTTTGGGATGTGAGTTGACTTTTTGACTATTTTAATCTGGAGTTAAAATGTCTCATTTGGAAATGACTTTTTGACTTTCTAACTTTTTGTGAGAAAAAAGATGTAATGATTATGGATTGTATGTGGTATTTTATCTTATTGAACTGAAATCTATTTTGTCTTTTTAAAACTAAAATAACCCTAAATCTAACCCAATCCTTCGTTCCAAATAAACCTATTTATTGAAAAATGATATTATACACACCTTTAAAACGTGTAGATGGTTCAAAACTTACACCAACTAAAATCAAATCGGTTCATATGACAAAATATCATGCAAGTCTCCTAACGAAATTATCAAAGTCTCATAACTAATATAACTTTGATTCTTAACAAAACAATACAAATCATATTATAATAACTTTGGGTTTATAACTAAAACTAATTTAAGATCATTTATATCACAAAAATCTCCGTACAAATCACCACAAAGTTTAGATGAGCATATATTTTACGTAAGAGAGTTAAAATTTGAGGGCATTTGTAGATTCAATTTACTTTCAAAATCACATCTACTTTGTTTTATTTAGGCTTAAGCCAGCCCTAGTCACTGACCATTAAAACCAACTCAAACAAAAGCTCATCATTTTTGTTTTGCCGCGATTGTAACTGTTAGTGTATATGCTTTATGCTTTAAGATAGTGTACCTTTCGGCCACTTTCGGTCATTTTCATAATTGTTGTCTATAGAAGCCATTATACATTAAATGAAGATATATAAAAGAGATACATATTTCACTTAGCAAATCTATCAGTAATATTAACACTGTGTTTGGTTGAAAGATTTGAGGAGAAATTTGAAAAGGGATGAGGAAAGGAAAAAGTTAGGTAAAATATGAATAAAATGTATATATTTCACCTAGTTTCACACACCTTTTCCCTTTTCTTTTCCAAATCTCTTCCCAAATCCCCCAACCAAACACAACATAAAAAAAAACAAAAAATCATAAAACAAGAAAACAAGAGGGGAAACGCAGGGTCTAAGGAGAAATCCATTTCATTCAGTCCAGTTGGATCTGGATTGAACCAAACTTCACTCCAAGAGAAGAAACGCTGGTTCTAATTCGGTGTGCTATCTCCAATATCACAGCCAATGTTGCAATTGCCAAGAGGACCAAAGAACAGCCAAGTAGCCACACCACCCAATACCCTGGAATGTTAACGAAGGTGAAGTTTGGCACCTTTTCCTTCAACATAAAACCATAAACGGAAAAGAATGCACACACAGCAACAAACACAAGAGCCCGGTAACAAAATGACCTTTCCACGATCATTCTCCATATTGAAACAACTGCCACCACCAGACTCACTGTAAATCCAATTGTCAATGATACGATCAATAAGAAATGAGATGGCCATTTGTTAGGGTCCAATATATCTTGAAATTTGAGTATGAGCTTTTTACTCCCAACATGTTGGTTTTCTAAAGTGCAAAGAGCTGCAAATAGAGCGGCTGCTATTATGCCAGCAAATCCCACCAACGCAGCTATTATTGCGACTTTGATATTTTCGTTCATCTTGTCTGGAATTGTATTGTCCTCCTGATTGTCGTTGCTTTCGCTCGTCGTTCTGCATAGAACTATACTGTTCTCCTGATTGACACCTACTGTGGCATTTTGGTCATTCTCGAGTTCATCATGAATGTCGCTTTGAATCTGAATCACATTTAACTATTTTTTCTTATTAGCAAAGTAAAAATTTTATTAAAAAACATAAAATTAAAGATACAAAGAAATGAAATACACGGAGAGAGATTCAGAGTAATCACCCTTAACACTAGACGAGCTCTAGAATTTAACTCCACTTTGGCAATAGAATCAAAGTATACCACATTATTGTTTATGAATAATCCATTTAGATTTTCTATTGTTAATTAGGCTTGTCACCTTTACACTTTTATTAAAATTTCACATTAATATTTTTACTTTCAACTTTGAGAATCAAATTTTACATTTGTAAGTTAAATTGCAATATTATTTTTCAGTCATCTGTCATTGATGAGGGTGACTAAAATTGACATGTGAGCTCAAATGATATTTTTCCAAAGAAACAATATTAAAGGTGGAACAACTAAAAATAAGATAATAGTGAAATCAAGTAGAGTGATTATAATGAAATTTTGACAAAAATTGTATCAATGCGAATGAGGTGGGAAGATGGTTGATTTTACATAGATGCCGTAAAAAAGGATGTTATATGAGGCTCACATGCTAATTTTCATTAAACTTCATTAATGTCAAATGGCACTACAATATCTAAAAGTTTTATGAGCTAAATTTTTTCGTTCTAAAATGCGAAAATTTTGTTTTGAAAAATGTTAGGAGACTAAGAGGTTAGTTTGGTGATCAATGTTTGGGGTTTGGGGGTGTACCCCTTTTAAGGTCTCAGGTTTGAAACTTTTCAAGTGCAAACAATTTCCTGGGACATTGGCTATAATCAGGCCCCTGCTAGTGGATGATAAAATTGGTTCTTCAGATTAGTCAATCTGATAGGCCGAAACCGAGTCATCAAAAGAAAAAAAAAATAAAAAATTACAGACCTTTAGTGACATTTTTGAAATGTCATTAATAAATAGACTTTTACAGTTTAATTTTGATTAGAAAATTTTGGTCAAAAAAAATAGTTATTCATTACAAAATGTCCAATTTTGTTACTAAAAAATATAACAATAACACTTTGGTAAGCAAACTATTTTGTTCATAAATTTTTATCTTTAAAATCCTAATTTGCTTTAGTGTGGACGGAAATGTCACGTTATAACTAGACTTATACTATGAAGGTTCGACTGTCACAATCGAAAACAGAGAGATCAAAATAACATTTTGATAAAATTATGAGGTGCAAAGTGTGATTAATTAATTGATTTTCTTTTTGTATATGCTAGCTCAGGTAACAACAGGAAGATAGACAGAGCTTAGAGATCTAGCAGACATAACTCAAGGTATTTGACTCTCAGCTTTTCTAAGTCTAGTTGGTTGACCAATCTATCTGGAGCAAATAAGTCTTAAAAAAAAATAAAATAATAATAATTCGGATTTTTTTAGCTTGTTCATTAAGTTTTCAAGCATCTCTTTCTTTTTCAAATAATTAATACTAATCTCCCAACATGATAAGTACCCAACTCGAAAATCTCCTAAGGAAGAGTGTGTTTGAGGATCATGCTGGTTATGGTCATTCACAGGGATCATACAAGTAACACAGTGTATGCTTTGTTAAACTTTTATGACTTGTCGACACTCTAAAAATTAAAAAACTAATCCAATCTTTCAAACAAAAATACCATGCGATTCTGGTTACTTTATGAACTGGAACATTTTTTTTTGGTTTTGATCAGCTGGACTAGAACACATTAGAGAATTTTATGAATCCAACATATGCTCAATCCAAATAATAAGAGGCGATGTATTTTCAGGACAATTTTAAGAGACTAAAGTGTAATTACCAAACTTTTAAATAATAATAATCATGAAAAAAATAGACTCTCCCCCTTTGAATCACACGCACAATAAAACACTACACACAAATCAATCAAGAGATGAAAAATCTTTAATATATTTTTCATGATCCTAGCATTATTCGTAATATTATTAATTTTGTGCTTGTGCATGAAACTGTGAGAGAGAGAGAGAGAGAGAGAGAGAGGGGAACACCTCAGATATGCGATCCGTGTCTTCTTGAGAAGTATTGTTCTGATTCTGATTCTGGTTACCAGGAAAATTAAGCTTAATGCAGTCGTCGTTATTGGTGGCCGGAGTCAGTGTCTCAAACATTTTGCCTCTCTCTCTCTCTCTCTCTCACACACACTCACTCACTCACTCTCACTCTCTCACTATTTTAGTTCGAGGAGGAGAAGAAAGAGATGATTGCCTGGGAGTATGATAAATGGACGAAGACATGGTGTTAAAGCGAAACACCATGGCTCAATTTGGAAAGAGCTATAAAAAATTAAAAAAAAATAAAAAAAATAAAAATTAAAAGTCATTTTTTAATTTCATTTTAATTATATATTTCACATTTTTTACATATTTTTTTAAAAAAAAAAAATTCAAAAATTCACTTTTAATTTTTTGATTCATTTTTTTAAAAATATCATAATGTTAAACTTGTATGACTTGTCGACACTCTAAAAATTAAAAAACTAATCCAATCTTTCAAACAAAAATACCATGCGATTCTGGTTACTTTATGAACTGGAACATTTTTTTTTGGTTTTGATCAGCTGGACTAGAACACACTATCCTGTGTTTGGTTGGAGAATTTGATGTGAGATTTGGAAAGGAAAGGGAAAAAGGTGTGTGAAACTAGGTGAAATTTAGGTATATTTTATTCACATTTCACTTACATTTTCCATTTTCTTTTCCAAATTCCTCCTTAAATCCTCCAACCAAACACAGCATTAGAGAATTTTATGAATCCAACATATAAGCTCAATCCAAATAATAAGAGGCGATGTATTTTCAGGACAATTTTAAGAGACTAAAGTGTAATTACCAAAATTTTAAATAATAATAATCATGAAAAAAATATATGATGAGGAAAGACTCTCCCCCTTTGAATCACACGCACAATAAAACACTACACGCAAATCAATCAAGGGATGAAAAATCTTTAATATATTTTTCATGATCCTAGCATTATTCGTAATATTATTAATTTTGTGCTTGTGCATGAAACTGAGAGAGAGAGAGAGAGAGAGAGGGGAACACCTCAGATATGCGATCCGTGTCTTCTTGAGAAGCATTGTTCTGATTCTGATTCTGGTTACCAGGAAAATTAAGCTTAATGCAGTCGTCGTTATTGGTGGCCGGAATCAGTGTCTCAAACATTTTGCCTCTCTCTCTCTCTCTCTCACTCACTCACTCTCACTCTCCCACTATTTTAGTTCGAGGAGGAGAAGAAAGAGATGATTGCCTGGGAGTATGATAAATGGACGAAGACATGGTGTTAAAGCGAAACACCATGGCTCAATTTGGAAAGAGCTATAAAAAATTAAAAAAAAAAAAAAATTAAAAATTAAAAGTCATTTTTTAATTTCATTTTAATCATATATTTCACATTTTTTACATATTTTTTTAAAAAAAAAATTTCAAAAATTCACTTTTAATTTTTTGATTCATTTTTAAAAAAATACCATAATTAAATACAACATGAGACATAGTTAAAAATATTTATGAATTATAATTAAAATAATATGATAATTAAAAAAAATTATATAGTACACCCATTTAAAAAAAAAGTGTACAATTACATCAACACCCTTAAACTACTAATAAATATTAATTACATTTAGGTTTTGTTTGACCTGTCTTAAAATAACACATTCTATTTTAATATATTAACTTATTTAAGTTACAATCATCTTGTTTGAATCATATTAGTATGTTTGGTTTGAGTTTTTTAAATTAAATTTTTTGAGAATTGAATTTTTTGGTTTTCGTATTTTTTTTTTGTTTTTGTTTTTAGTGAATATTTTTAAAATTTTAAACATTTTTTTTATTTTTTTAAATACACCTTATTTAGATGTATCTAAAAAGTAAAAGATTTGAGAAAAAATATTTTTAAAAATTAATAAATACATAAAAATACAAAAAATGTACTGAATTATCGTATTTTGTTTATATTTTTGGTATTTAGTGAATTTTTAAAAGGATTTTTTCAATTTTTTTTTTACTTTTTAGGTATACTTATGTTCGGTATGTCTTAAAATTAAAAAAATTGCTCAAAATATTAAAAAAATTCAGTAAAAACATAAAAAACATGAAAAATAAGAAAATAAAATTTTCTGAAAAGTATTTTTAAAAAATGATAACCAAGTAAGGTGATTATCTTTCTGTTATATCACTTTAAACTCAATTCATATTTTATATTTTTTTTATAAAAAATCAAAAAATATACTAATGAGCCACTTTTCAAAACTCCTTAAAAAGCATTTAGGGGTTGTTTGGGGTGTCTTAAATAAGTGCACTTTTTGTCTTTTTGAATTAAAAAATTGAGGAAGAAAATATGGATGTTTGGGTTAACTTTTTGACTTTTATTAGAAAAATGTGTAATAAAAAATTATAAAAATTAATTTGTAAGAAAAAATTAGGATTAGGAGTTGTGCAGCCGTAATTATTGACTTTTGATGAATAATGTTAAATTTTTAACTTTTTAAATAATTTTTTGACTTTTTTACAATATGCCAAACTTGACCTTATTATCAAAATCTCACCGAAATATACTTTCTGTTTTTTTGGTTGTGGTTCTGCGGGTTGGGCGGGTGAAGGGTTCAAGGAGAGCGGGTCGGGGTGGCGGTTTCTAAAAGCCAACCCGCTCCTCCCAGTTAAATCTATCAAAATAAATATATAACTAGGTTCAATTCCAACCATTGGATTAAATCTATCAAAATAAATATACACACTCACTCACACACAATCAATTCTCAATTAAACCTACCACACACCCCAATCCATCTCTTTCATTTTTTTTTCGCTACAACGGAAAGAATCCATCTCTTTCATTCATACTGCTCTTAGCCTCCCTTGTTGCTTCTCCTTCTTATCTTGCCGATTGGCGCCATCGCGGGTCACTAGCTATGCCGCTCTTCGCTCTTCCCCGCCGCCGCTCTTCGCTCGTCGCCACCTCCCCTCTTCACTTGTCGTCGTCGCCGCTCTTCGCTGGTACATACCTCTCGCTCTTTATCCTTATTCGCTTTTTATCATCAAGACCTGTATCAATGTATCTGGTTCCATACATTTTTCTTGAAGCTTTCTTGAATATAGAAGCTTAGAATCTTGGAGAGAGAAAAGAGAAGGGGTAGACAATTGAGTGTCCAAATTGACTTGACTGGGTCTTCCCCAACTAAGAATACTCCACTTTACTTATTTTTTTGGAATTCAATTGTCTGTGCTCAATATTATTTTGTTGTATTGGCTTTTTTTTTTAATTTTTTATAATGATTTTGATGATGGTTTTTTTTGTTATTTATTTATATTGAATTGTTATTATATAATTTATTTGGATTGTCGAATTTTTAGGTTACTAATTTGTCGATGTTTAATGTTAAATTATATAAATGAACATCTATTTTATTTTTGATTATTTTAATTAATTAATTAATTAATTTTTGAACAAACTACTTTAATTAATTTATAAATTAAATTCAAATTTTGTAATTTGAATTTTATTTTATTTTTTTGAAACCGTCAACCTATCAGATTTGTCATGTCAAAATTATCATTATTTACTAACTGAACGTTTTTATTAAAAAAAAAATAATTTCTAATAATACTTTTTATCGATTAATCACCTACGGTTTCAATTTTACTTCACACTGATCCGCACCTCCTACACCCTAATTACACTGGTGTTTAGTTAATAATTTTATTTTTTATTTTATAGGTATGACTTGTAATGGATTTAATTATTTATTTTATTTTATACATCTGTGAAATAATGATTTTATTTATTTATGGGCATATCATAGATTTATACAATATCATTCCATCAGAGTCAAAAAAGGAAAGAGGGATTTCTACGAAACGTCGGCCTGAGGAAATGAAGATGGATGAATCTGCAAATTATTGCGAAAAGTTTTATTTTATTTTTTTGAAACCGTCAACCTATCAGATTTGTCAAGTCAAAATTATCATTATTTACTAACTGAACGTTTTTATTAAAAAAAAAAAAATTTCTAATAATACTTTTTATCGATTAATCACCTACGGTTTCAATTTTACTTCTAAATCATACTGATCCGCACCTCCTACACCCTAATTATACTGGCGTTTAGTTAATAATTTTATTTTTTATTTTATAGGTATGACTTGTAATGGATTTAATTATTTATTTTATTTTATACATCTGTGAAATAATGATTTTATTTATTTATGGGCATATCATAGATTTATACAATATCATTCCATCCGAGTCAAAAAGGGTAAGAGGGATTTCTATGAAACGTCGGCCTGAGGAAATGAAGATGGATGAATCTGCAAATTATTGCGAAAAGAGATGGGGGTTTCTTTTGTATTTAATGAAGGGGCTCGGCCTCACAATAGAAACCATCGATCTTTTTATTGAGGAAAGGAAGATGGACGAATCTGCAAAGAAATCGAAGCGGCTGGACGTCGTGAAGGAGTTAATTAAAGATCATCGAGTTACAGGGATTTTTGGGTTGGGTAAAATTACTACTGGAAAACGTTCCTTCAGCGCCACATTTGAATCTGGACTCAAAATATCGAGGAATCTTTTGAATGAGAAAAGGAAGATGGATGAATCTGCAAATTATTGCGAAAAGAGATCGGAAGGAGGGTGGATTGAGTTAACTGAAGAAGGTCCTCGAGTTATAGCGATTTCTGCGATGGGTGGGGTGGGTAAGACGACTCTTGCAAAATCTAGCTTCAGCAACATATTTGAATCTCGACTCAAAAGGGTATCGATGGATTTTTGCGATGTGGAGAGTGGAATAGATGGTAATTCTTTGTTTGATTTTCATCTCCTAGTCCTAGACTATAAAGGAAAAATTGCTTTCACTTCAACCAAACAATTCCAGGTAATTTATCTCGTTCATATTATGGATCCCTACTTCTTGTTTATCTTCACTCAATGAATACTCTCTGTGTTCTGCACAGAAATTACTTGATGATTTATCACCAAAATTAAAATTGGATCTTGGTCTATTTGACAACTTTTCATCAAATCTCTTTCTTAAATCTCACACACTCACTCAACTCTATGCATCGATTCCCTCTTTCATCAAATTTTCCTTCAAAAAAGTTCTTATTTTGTCCAGCTTCAGTACTGTTCCAAGGTGCAAGCGTGACTTATATTTTTCTTGTCCATCAAGTATTCGATAAAATGTGTCAATGGCACAGCTGCTATGCTTTTGTTGTGTTTAGTAGATTTTTTTGTTTTTAAATAGGATTGAATCTTTGAGACTTTTTAATTGAAATAAAAGGTTTCTGGCTTTACGGGTTCTCGGGAAGTTCTCTTTGAATTAAATTTTTTTTTTGGGTGCCAATTCTTCCCCAGACCCCGCTTAAGCGGGAGCTACGTGTCGTGCACTTGGTATGCCCTTTTAATTGATAGGTTTTTTTTTTTTTTTTTTCTTGAATTTGTTTTAAGGTATCAGCCGAGCACTGGAAATTAACAAGGCTGATAAAATTTTACTTGTAAAAGATGAGAAAAAATTGTTTCAAATAAAAACATTTTCTGTTAAATTAAACGTAGTCTTAGAAACAGTGGGATAATTGGGAAAAAAAAAAAAAAAATTTGGACAGCCTGCGTATTTGCTATGTTTTCCATCATTTTCTTGTTTGTTGTTTTTGATATTATAGTTTTCTGCTTTCACAAACTGAGGAACGCATGCTTAAATGTAATTGCAGACCTCAACAGAATTGCCTCCCTTGAACTCTGGGGGTTTTGTGGTTATGGACATCTCATATGATCTACCTCATTTAGAGAATGTTGATATCAGTAATCACGGGATTGTTCAAGAACCTAGAGCTATGATAACCTGGGATTTAACCAAACAAAAAATCAAGCAGCCTGGTGATTACAGTCAGAGAGAGTTGTTCAACGGCTCAAGGGATTTGCCTGAAGAAAAAATCAAGCATAGAGGGTTGTCTGAAAACTTGATGAGGGATTTTACCATACAAATAATGAAATCCACCCATGATGATTACTTTCATAGAGGGTTGTCCAATGGGGCATGTGATATAAGCATTGTTGGGCCTTCTGTTGGTATCAGAATTGTTTTTCTACTGGTAGCCACACTAATTGCGGCAACAACCTGCCAAGTACCTTTTCACTTCCTTGGTAGCACTTCTTCCAAAGAGGTGCCAGATCAATTCAAAATCATGCGTACCTTGTTCATTCTGTGCAATTCCATGGTGTTCATTGCATCGGTGGGTGTTGTTACGTTCCTCCTGCATGAATTCCCACTAAAGCCGTGGCCTCATATCTCAATTTCGGCTCTATTTGGTTCTTATATGCTGTCATTAAATGCAATCATGCCCAATGGAGCTCTGGCGCTTTTCTTCATATCAATTCCCATTTTGTTGATTGGCATCTGCAGGGAAACTTTATGGCTTTGCAAACCATAGACTTACTTGAGCACTTTAACATCTGGTGCTTCCTGTTGTTGGGTCTTGGTTGCATGACTGTATTATTTACCGCTTTGCTTAGTGGGTCTGTTATTAATTTCTAAGTGTGTATGAAAAACAACTTGGGTATTCCCTGAGCTGATTATGCAATCATGCTGATTCTGTATTGGCACAATAAATATTCATGTTTTATGTGTGTAGTACCTTCCACTATTATGATTGGTGGCAAGTAATAGAATAAGTCATATTATTGTGGCAAGTAATAGAATAAGTCATATGATTGGGTGTTTGGGAAATCCTACGGGTCTATATATTTGTGATGGTGAAAGGGTAGTGCCCACTTAGTACCGTATTGATATACAAAACTTTTTCCATATGAGACATTTGTTTTTATGTTTTGGGCTCAACATATCTATTTGCAGGCTAGTAGCCCGAAATTCACGCAGGGTTTTTCATTGAAATCAATCCCGGGGGACCAATTCCGTTTATCAAGTTTGATATTGAGATCTTGACTTGAGACATTGTATTCAACTTTGTACAATTTTTATTTTTTGAAGTTTTAATTAAAATTTTAAAAAGTTGAAACTTTTGACAATAAGAAATTTTTAAATGATTTCGTGAGTGTCAAGAGATGATCTAATTGGTCTAATAGTTAAACCATCTCTAGTAGCAATGTTAGTGACCCGTCAAGGTGGGGTGGTGGGAGAGATTGTAGTTGATTGTAGTAGCATGGTGACATTAGTAAGATTAGTGCGATTTTTTTTTTTAATCTTTTGAAAGTAAAAAAATATGTTTCACTTAAATATACTTGGTTTTTTTTTGTTTTTTATTTTATTTTTATTTTATAAATTATGAAAAATATTTTTCATATTTTTTTACTAAAATGTCAAAAGATACGAAAAATGCATGTCAAAGTTCTTACAAACTTTAAATTTTATCTTTCAACCTCTACTTCAAATGTCGAAGTTCATACAAATTTGGATTGCCTTTCTTGGTGCCCGTTTTTTTTTTTTTTTTTTTTTTTTTTTTAACACTTTCTTCTTTAGATTCTTTAGATTTTACTCAACGAGATAAATCATAAAAATTATAAAATAAAATAAAATAAAGTGCAGTGAATACAAAAATGCAAGAAGAGTTGATTTTTGTGATCATTATGGGCTGATTGTAAAAGATTTAAAGAGCGGGATCACTAAAGTAAGGGTGATTTTATTTTCACCCAATAATTTTTAGTACGATGAATAAAAAATTAAAAAATTTAATTTCTATTATATTTTAATATAAATTTATTAATAAGGATCATACATATTAAATTTTAAAATAAAATAAAATATTATTTTTTCTCATATATTTTTCATATTTAACTCTATTTATCTTCTTTTTTAGAATTTAAATTATTTTCTCTGCATATTCTTATTCTAAAATTTTAATCTACCCTATTAAAATTCACCATTATTATTAAATATCTACTTTTATTCTTTTAGATGATTGTATGCGGGACTTTTTTTATATTATTGCAAGACCTACCTACAACTAAGCAATTGATATATCAAACTATGTTGATAAGAATCACAATCGGTTTAATGATCTGCCATAACACTCTAATAAATGGCTCACACAATGAATAAAAGTATGGAGACGAGAGCTCCAGAGATTAATGGTCTATCTTTTTAACTTTAAGCTTATGACGTCTGTTGCGATGACTCCTTCCTTTGTCATTTTCCTTGATTTTCTTAGTTTTATCATTCTATTTTTGATTTGTTTATTGTTTGGGTATACTTTGAAAGGTAATTTGAAAAAAATATATAAGATGTATTAAGAGTAAATTATAATTCTAAATAACTTAATAGGATATACTGAGAAATTGAATGTATTTAATGATTTTTTGAGGGCTCTTTTGGGAACCGGAGAAAAACGCTACGTTTTGTGGCTTAGCAAAACGACAAGTTGCGTTTTTGCTCATTTGCGAAGTGCCAAAAAGTAGGTTGGAGAATTACGTAAGTATCCTTAATGTTTACATCTTGTGGGTTTGGGTAAAATGTAATTTTTTAAAGTTAGGTGAGGGTATTTTAGTCATTTTAGTGTGATGTGACACCACAAACAAATATTAATCCAAAAAAAAAAGTAACTTTTTACCAATTTTTCAAATCACTCCCAAAAAACTTGGTTAAAAACAAAAAAACTTCTTTTTACCATCTCCCCAAAATACAAATAGAATCTTCCTAAAGTAGCAACCTAATACAATTTCAATTTTACCATAAAATTGTGTTATGGTTTTAAGGGATCTTCCAAACTCAAATTTATGGATGATATTCCAAACAGAGTCGTGAGATGCTTTAAGAAACACATGAGGTGCCAATATTGTTGAGGGAGGGAGGTGCAATATTTTTTTGTTGGAATTGGAAGATAAGGGATGGCTAGCGATGGAATAATATTAGCACCTCATGTTTTTTGAGTCACACACAACTCAGTTGGATTTTGAGTTTTAAAATATAATTTTTTGTTTTTATTGATTTTTTAAAATGTATTATTATTATTATCATTCTAGATCTACTTGATCTAAAACAAAATTCATAAATATTTTGTTTTTAAATACATTTAGATTAGGTGCATCTAAAAAAATAAAAACTAAAATATGAAAAAAATTACTGAAAATAACAAAATACAAAATCAAAAAACTTAAAATCTAAATTTAAAACTTTCCTCAAATTTTCAAATTTTATTAATTTTTTCCATCTAACAGTTTGTGGGCCGAGTAGCTTAGATTGAGGTTTTTAAAGTGTGGCAAATGGGTGGGTTTGTAATGGTTTGGGCGCGAATCGAGTTGAAGAAGGTAGCGAAATGGGGTCAGTAAACAACTGAGTGACATTTGGACGGTCTTTATGGGCCTAGCCCATATTCCCTTTGATTGTCTTTATATGGGGAGATTTTATCTGTCCCCAAAAAAATCATTCAACACGCTTAATTTTTTAATATTATCTATTAAATTATTTAGGTTATAATTTATTCTCAATACACATTATATTTTTTTTTTCATAAATTACCTTTCAAAATTAAAATCATAATTTTTGATACACCCAAATAATAAATAAGTCAATTCAAAAAGAGAAATTCTATTAACACAATACTAACCCTAAATTACCCTATTTTGAAAAACCCTTAATCAAAAACCCTTAAGTACTGATTACATGTTTTGCTAGTCTGCAAGTATATAAATATATATATGAAACTTGATTACTGATGTAACTACATATGTCTGTTGTATGTATAGCATTTATATGTACGTGTGGGGACATAGTTTTAAAAATTTACAAGTTGAAGTTAAACCGATGCCATGTTTAACACTTGTTGAAATTTTAAAGAAAATTTACAAGTTGAAGTTAAATCGAGATCATTTTTAACACTTGTTGAAATTTTAAGAAAAATTTACAAGCTGAAGTTAAGCCGGAGTCATGATTAAAGGAATGAATAATATAGGTTCTATCACATCAGGATGCCGAGATAATAGAACCTAGGGGGCAGTAGTTGTGGGGACATAATTTTTGAATGACAACACGTGGCCGAGGTGTCACCGAAGTGCCAGCCGAGGTGCTACGTGTCCTGGTCATGACGCCGAGATCATCTCGGCTAGGCCGAGGTTATCTGCGAAGATACCGGAATCCGGGATAAGCGGATAAGGGGCAAGAGTCCTAGAATGAGAGAGGACTTCAGTTTGGATAAAGATAAGACTCTTAGAGAGTTTATCCCAATCCTACTGGGAGTCCAAGAATAACAGTAATCCTAAGTCCGTTGAAGCTATGTTTCTATTGGGACTAGGTTTGTGTTGGCTATAAAAGAGAGGCACCCTCATGGGTCTAAGGTATACTTTTTATGCTCTGAATAGTGAGTTAAGCATTTTTGCTATCTTTGAGAGATAACTGACTTGATCGTCGGAGTGCCCCCGGGTGGATGAACCACCGCCGGAATCTCTTCTTTTTGTGACAGGTTGTTCGAGCTTAATCTATTCTGCCAGTGTTCTCCAGTTGAGTGCTTGATTGGTAGTGTGGTCGGAAATTGACACACACAATTTGGCGTCGTCTGTGGGAAAGAAAGGAGAATAGATGGCCAACGACGGACATAAAGAGAAGGTTGGGGACGACACCCCTAATGAGAGTGGGAAACATATTAACCTTGACGTCGAAGAAGACAACTGCAACGAAGAGACTCGTGATAAGAATCACGGAGGAAAGGACGTCGACTAGGAGGGTGGCGTACTAAAGAAATCGGACCGGAACGGGTATTATAACGAGGACGACCTCTAGGTATGAAAAGATAGATGCCTGCGGAGGGACGACGAGATGAAGGGAATGACAGACAAATTGGCGGACCTGCAAACAGTCGTCAATTTCATGATGCAGAACGACGCCATGCAACTACCGTTCCCTTTACAAGATACGCCGATTCCAACGGCCAAGAAAGATGCCCAGAAAGGGGGGCAGAACATAGTTCCTGCAGTCTCTCAGCACGACAGGGCAAATGGGCATTCTCACCGGCCTTCACGGGAGGTCGGGCATGGAGAATGATGCTTGGGAGTTGGAATTTTCAAGCCAAGATCGGTTTAACACTTGTTGAAATTTTAAAAATTTACAAGTTGAAGTTAAACCGAGGTCATGTTTAACACTTGTTGAAATTTTAAAAATTTACAAGTTGAAGTTAAACCGAGGACATGTTTAACACTTGTTGAAAATTTAAAAATTTAGAAGTTGAAGTTAAGCCGATGCCATATTTAACACTTGTTGAAATTTAAAGAAAAATTTACAAGTTGAAGTTAAATCGAGGACATGTTTAACACTTGTTGAAATTTTAAAAATTTACAAGTTGAAGTTAAACCGAGGTCATGTTTAACACTTGTTAAAATTTTAAAAAATTTACAAGTTGAAGTTAAACCGAGGTCATGTGTAACACTTGTTGAAATTTTAAGAAAAATTTACAAGTTGAAGTTAAACTGAGGTCATGTTTAATACTTGTTGAAATTTTAAGAAAAATTTACAAGTTGAAGTTAAACCGATGTCATGTTTAACACTTGTTGAAATTTTAAAAAATTTACAAGTTGAAGTTAAATCGAGGTTATGTTTAACACTTGTTGAAATTTTAAGAAAAATTTATAAATTGAAGTTAAACCGAGGTCATGTTTAACACTTGTTGAAATTTTAAGAAAAATTTACAAGCTGAAGTTAAACCGGGGTCATGATTAAAGGAATGAATGATATAGGTTCCATCATCTCAGGATGCCGAGGTAATAGAACCTAGGGGGCAGTTG